AAAAGGAAGAGAGAGATAATTGTTTGAAATGGGGGAGTTTATAGAAAATGAGGGAATAGGAGGGAGGATGAGTGGATTTAAGGAGAGAGAGAGTATATAAAGAGGGGTTTTATATTGTGGGGGTTTATTATTGTAATCTCAAGCTGAGATTTGAATAGGGATTTATACTCTTAATATTAACACTGTGCTACTAGTGTTCAATTGAGAAATCCCAGTTTAGGGATTTGGCTCTTTGACTTGTAATTTTCTTGTTTAATTAATTAAGAAATTTACTTGTGTTGGCTTGCCCGAGGGAGTAGGCAGTTGCGAAGCTCGTTAAAATCTTGGTGTAACTTTTTCTATACATCTGGACTTACTCGTTCTGTTGCATTAGGGTTTCAGCGTTAAATTCCTAAGCAACTGGTATTCAGAGCGTGAACGATCTAGAAGGAGTCAGATTCAAGTGGGAGCCATGAGCCACAGATGAGGGTGCAAAAATTGAGACATTGAGAAATTTGATGGAACAGATTTCGGATTGCTGGAAAATGCAGATAGAGGGATTTATCTGTATCAGAAAAATGCTGTATTCAACGTCACTTATTTGGGGGGAAGAAGCGGGGATTCCCTATGAAAGGAAGAAGAGTGGAACCTTTCTAGATAGACACGCCCTCGAGTTATCAGATTGACGTTGACTGCGCAATGTTGCGTCAACAATAGCAAAGGAGAAAGAGCCACGGCAAGGTCTTATGGGCAGGCGTCTTCAACATGGTATGAGAAACCATGCAGCGCGAACAAAAGTTCATTTGATGGGCGGTCGGTTTATTTCAACTCTGAAAATGGCGGAAGGCGCGTCAGTAGCAAGCACAACACCTCAATGAACTTAATACGGTTACAACCCAATTGAGTTCAGTTGAGATTGAGTTTGATAAAGAAGTTCGGGCGTTGATATTATTGTCTTCCCTACCAGAGAGTTGGAACGCTACAGTCACAGCTGTGAGTAGCTCGTCGGGAAACAATAAGTTGAAGTTCGACGACGTTCGTGATTTGGTTCTCAGTGAGGAGATCCGACGGAGAGAAACGGGTGAAGCTACAACCTCTTCAGTATTGCATACAGAGTCAAGAGGTAGAAATTCAACCAGAGGAAACGGACGAGGAAAATCAAACTTCAGAGGTAGATCAAAGGACAGGAGGTCCAAGTCAAGGAATCCAAGCAACAGCTCGAAGGCTATCGAGTGTTGGAATTGTGGAAAGACCGGGCATTACAAGAACCAGTGCAAGAGTGCACAGAAGGAGAAGGAGGCGAAGGCAGAGGTGAATGTCACTTCCACTTCAGGAGGAAACGACGCATTGATATGCTCTTTGGAGAGCAAGGAGGAATCTTGGGTGTTAGATTCAGGAGCGTCGTTCCATGCTACCTCTCAGAAAGAATTCTTCGAGAAGTATACCCCCGGAAATCTTGGATACGTATATCTTGGTGATGATAAACCATGTGCTATTGTGGGTTAAGGCGTGGTGAAAATTAAGTTGAACGGGTCTGTATGGGAGCTGAAGGATGTCAGGCATATTCCCGACCTGAGAAAGAATTTAATATCCGTAGGCCAGCTGGCTAGCGAAGGATACACTACGACCTTCCATGGAGATGATTGGAAGATCTCAAAGGGTGCAATGACGATTGCCCGAATGACGATTGCCCGAGGCAGGAAGACTGGTACCCTATATATGACAGCAGCTGCACGTTGTTCGATCTCAGTTGCAGCAAGCAACGAGACTTCAAAGCTGTGGCACCAGAGACTCGGTCATATGAGTGAAAAGGGGATGAAGATTATGCACACAAAGAGAAAGCTCCCAGGTTTACAATCAGTAGAGATTGATATGTGTAAAGAATGCATACTTGAAAAGCAGAATAGAGTTAGCTTTCAGACAAGTGGCAGAGCCCCCAGGAAGCTAAAGCTGAAGCTTGTTCACTCAGATGTTTGGGGACCAACCACCACTACGTCGATTGGTGGGAAACACTACTTCGTGACTTTTATCGATGATCACACTCGGAAAGTATGGGTCTACTTTCTGAAACATAAGTCAGAAGTATTTGAAGCTTTCAGGAGATGGAAAGCTATGGTCGAGAATGAGACCGGTCTGAGAATAAAGAAGCTCAGGACCGACAATGGTGGTGAGTATGAAGACACCGGATTCAAGAAGTTCTGCTATGAGCACGGGATCAGAATGGAGAGAACCGTGCCCGGCACGCCTCAGCAAAATGGTGTAGCTGAGCGGATGAACCGAACATTGACAGAGAGAGCCAGAAGCATTCGGGTACAGTAGTAAAAAGACAATGAAGGAAAATTGATTTGTATTCCTTTAATCTCAGTTACAATTGGATTTCCTGATTACAAAAGAGAGGAGAATGATCTGGATTCTTCCCTTTGTTTAATTCTGGGTTCTTCACGGTGGCGATGAGATGCCTCCCTCGAATGCTCGCGTCGAGTTTGCTTCTCGTTGACGATCCGACGTCTTGTTTCACTGGAACGTGGTCTTCTCCTCACGATTTGACGTTGTGGAGAACTCTGAACGAGTTTAAAACTCTATGAAAGAGTTGATTTAACCGAAAGTCGGTTATAAGCCAAGGATGAAGAAGATCTTGTTGCCGATCTCCAAAGCTTCAACTGAAGGATGAAGGATCCTCTTTTCGCTGCCAAGAAGTTCCAACAGACCGCCCGAAAGATCCCTGAAGATCCAGCCTAAGATTCCTCTTTGCTGCCCACGAGAAGGATCTAAAAGACCGACCTTGAACTGAATTGATTTTCAGTTATTTATATGGGATTAAGGGGTGTAACCACCTCCTTAATTCGCTCCTAAGTGGGGCTAATGTGATATAACCGCCCCTTAAATCACTCCTGAGTGGAGTTGTGATCCCCTCAGATCGTGGGAAACAGTTTTGAAACTGTTCAGCTCGTGTTTGGACGAGTCAAATGCAAAATCCGCGTTCTGGCGTGAATTCTGCGTTCAAACGCACCGTCTGGAAGCTCGGACGCAGTATTTTGTTGGAAGCTGCGTTTGGCAGCTTGGAAGCTGCGTTTGGGCAGTGATGGAGCTGCGTTTGAGCAGCGATGGAGCTGCGTTCGGCAGCGGTGAAGAGCTGCGTTTGGGCAGCGATGGAGCTGCGTTGGGCAGCGATATTGAGCTGCGTTGTGCAGCGATGTTGAGCTGCGTCGGGCAGCGAATAGAGCTGCGTCCAGTGGCGATTTAAGCTGTTGAGCAGCGATGGAGCTGCGTTTGACAGCGGTATAGAGTTGCGTTGGGCAATGCTTGGGGCTGCGTTTGTGCTGCGTTTGGCAGCGGATCTGAGCTGCGTTTGACAGCGGTGAAGAGCTGCGTTTGGGCAGCGATGGAGCTGCGTTTGTGCTGCGTTTGGTAGCGGATCTGAGCTGCGTTTGCAGTGTTTAGAGCTGCGTTTGTGCTGCGTTCGTGGCTATGAACGCGGTACGTCTTGATACTGGTACGCGGGGAGGATTTCCGCGTCTTGGTTTGAAGAGACCGTCGATTTGTAGTCTCTTTCTATCGAAGTTTTGCAAAGATCGTCATTTTGTAATCTTTACTTTAGCTCTCTGATATGTGAGAGTCGTCAGATTGTAACTCCCGATGTTGATTATGAAGGCTGTTTGATTAGAGCTTCCATCAGTTGTCGTGAAGGTCGTCAGATTGTAACATTCAGCGATCTACGTGAAAGTCTTCAAATTGTAGCCTTCTGGAAGTCGTCAGATTGTAACTTCCATCATCGGTGTTTGATGGGGATCAGCTATCTATTGTGATTTTTAGACAGCCTACAGAA